ACAAACCGCTTGAAGATAAGTCCTGATATGTTCGTTCGCTGAAGTATCGCCACATTTCAAAAGCCATTTGGCAGTTAGCCAGCGAATAACTCAAAAGGCACGGCACGGTTTTATAACGCATCTGTGAAGTAGGTATAGAACAAATCAATGGTCTTCCAAATCCGCTGCCAAACGTTGTTAGTCTCCGTAATTTGGGCGGGACCAAGTTGCCAAACTTTCACCACGACTTTCGCCTCCCAGAAAATGCACGCGCATACCGCTTGTTTCACTATCGCTCACTCAAGTTTTGTCAAACATTCCACCAACAAAAGTTAGAAGGTCCTGATACGTTCAGCTCCCAATACCCCTCCTCCTCATACCAATGTGTAATCCTATGAGCTCGGCACTATCAGATCCTCCTCAAGGTGATTCATCTCTCATCGACACATACACTGAAACCACTTAAAGCATTTGATTTCAGGCGGTAAGTTATGCTGCCGCATATTAAGCCTTCTCCTCCAAATGCTTTACAACAAATTGCAAGACGGGCCTCCGCACCTTTCTAACTGGATCAAACTAGCACTTAGTGGTAGAGAGCGCGAGGAGGAGGCTTACGTGCATATTGCTATTGTTCAGGCATATAAACAAAAAAATGCATTTGAAAGTCCCTATGAATCTTAACAAATCATTAATAAGCCATTTTCTGTTAACTTTTTCATGTAAAGCTGTTTCGTCGCCTACTTAAAAACAATGAATAGCATTGCGTAATAAAAGTTATTCCAATATTGGTAATAGGTGTGTAAAGTACAAGACGATGAAATTATTAGGGAACTTACTTCCTTTCGGAATGGTCACAAAATGGGAGAATTACGCAGCTAACGCTATCATCCAGTTAACCACTGATTCAAAAACTCAAGAAAAATTAATCGGATGGATAGGTGGGTGGAAGGATTGATACGGGATGAATAGAAATATGTATTGATGAATGAATAAGCTACTAAATGTGTCCAAAATGGTTCTAACAGTCTACAAGAGCATGGCATGGAAGCTGTCTGCATGGGAGACTCACCTCCCCGCCCAAAAAGCAGCACTGTGAGTTCGGTGATTGAGCAGTGACGACAGGATTAGAGATGGTCCCATTAGGAAGAAGTAAGACTCCCTTACGTAATTTTAGTGGACCTTTCAGCTTCACTTTGGCGCCAACCCGAAACCACTCCTCTGGTGATGTCGCTGTCGTTGAAGTCATGGATCCCACCTCCACGGCTTTGATTGTACGCACACCATCTGTGAGATGAAGTGCATACGTCGGAATATTGGCGTTTTGTGGATAGGTCCGACAGTTGGATGAGGAAAAGGAGGACCGAGCGGCTGAAAGGATTTTAAGAGAGCAGGAAATATGCAACCGTGAAGTCGAAAGATGAATTGCTGATGAAAGGAGTGGGAGATTTCGGAACCAATTGGATTAACTAATTTATAAATATGCACCGCTCACGGCTTGAAGGCATTTAAAAAGAATAAGCCAATGGCTTCAAGAGAACCAAACGCACAGTATCACCAAAACGACCCGCT